TTGATTTTCAGTTGAATTCCCAGTTACGTCACTTTTCTCAACATCCGTAATTGTACTGAAATACAGTAATCATTTATAAATAACCGTTAGTAGGTGCAGTATTAATACTGGGTTAGGTGTATTATTTTGTAGTATAATGTAATAAAAGTTGTATATTATATAATATTGTAGGTACAGTAGTATAAATATATGTATATGTATATAGAATTAGGTATATTAATTTACGATCTATAACATAAGAAAACAATATATCTGCAAAAGTCTTGTAGTTGTCTATTTATTTTCCCGCGCAAACGATACGCGTCACAGATACAATATATTGCACGGTGCACAGCCGCAATAGCAGGACTTGCGTGTTACAGCTGTATGTTAATACTTAATACGAATATTAACAATACAAAACAATGTTGATTTCATTTAATGAAATTGGGGAATTAGATCCTTCAATATCCAGGATCAACAATAGTTAGGTATTAACATTTATACTACTTCTACTTTTCCCTAAGAATGGCAAATGGCATGTGGGATAATAAGAGCTCGTGGGAGGAAATAGCATTATTAGTATTGTGGATTGTTGACCCAAATGTTAGCAATATACCATATTAGGTTGACCTCTACGCGGTTCCTCCTGGAAACCATCATGGTAAATACCTGGTGGATTTTTCAAGATTGACTAACTGATCTGACGCCTTGTTTTATTTCTTAATATCTGACCCACAAACTTTTCACTTTTTCCCCGATTGTGTAACATTTGTCATTGCAACTCCGCTCCTACTAATCATAGCGTATTGCTATAGAGACTATGACTTTCCATTGTCAATGAATAGGCTATCCAATCACTAATATCCACACACCATTACCACGAAAATCCAACTATCAAACTTTACATCTTTTTAATATTAGCATAGAATATTAGGAACCACGCTGCACTCGACTGACTATGAATAATGCACGAGCATTTATAAATTCAGGCAATGCAGTTTCCTAATTTCGAGTATCTAATAATAGAAAACTTAGAACATCTCATACAATAAAGCATGAGGTCAGTGGATAATTCATAAATGACATTATAGCTGTATTTAGAACCGCGAGTGTTTATTAGTGGGCATTGTGAGCATGCGGTGAGAAAAGGTCGCCCACTCATAGGCTATTATTCTACTTCTATGATTTCGCAGATTACATCCTTATGTATTCATACTAATATTATAAAGAGGAAAGATTTGATTGTTTGTATGTTTGAATAATAATAATAATAAAAATTGCTTGACGGATTTTAAAAATTCCCTCACTATTTATAATGTATTTTATTCGAGTTCAACATAGGCTATAGTTAAATGGTTATCTCATAAAATTATGAGGACTCGGACGAATCGGGGGCTGGCCATTAGTTTATATCCAAGTTTCAATTCAACACAATGATTGTTCGGAACAAACTTCGAAACTATTTTTGATTTAGCGTAGTTAATTCCCAGATAATTGGATGGACCATGATGCATCATGATAAACTAACGGATTTTATTTTGTTCTGATCTGAACATAATGCATTGGCGCCCGAAGAATATACCGTCCACGCTATACAAGATTCTATATTCATCCAATAAAATAAAATGGGAAGAATTAAAGACGGCAGCTGTAAATGAGTGATTCTTGCAGCTAACGTTCCTGTCAAATAAATATCCCGGCCAATTAAAAAGGAGCGACTTGGTATTGCACCTGCTTACTGGTACGCTCCACTGAGCGCGACGAAGATGGTGCTCAGCGGCGGACAGCGGGCGGCGGGCGGAAGACCTGAATGCGGCCAGCAATGGCCGGCACCGCAGCGCGCGCAACGGCATCCAACCTTTCTCACCTTTTTATACACTTGTTTCTTCCATAATAATATTATAAATATGAAAGTGTTTCTGATAGACATACATATGTATAACAGACACAATTTTATAGGTACAGAAAGGCATCATTTAATAGCAATGAAATAATTACCGCCTATTACCGTTTTAGGGCTAAACGGTGAAGAAAAATTTCATTAATTTCGTCAATGAAATTTTTGTATCAGAAAAAGCTGAGGAAATCTTAAGTACCTAATAGTTTTAAGTAGAGGTAGGTAGTGCTGGTCCTTGTTCTCAAAATTCATATTGTAGATTTTATATAATAAACAGGAAAAATCCCTCGTTACTAGCGGAAAATTCTACGTTTATAACATTTTATAAAATCGTTTTATTATTTGTAGACAGCATCAATTATAATTATGTATTATGACGACAGTAAACTGCAGAGCCAGTAGTTTGAGAATTTTTTCCATTATCTGAGAGGTACATTGAGGGCACAGCTTAAATATTGCATTAATAAATACTAAACTCACAAAGTTCTGATCACCAGCGTCAATCCGTAGGCAATCCACATTCGATTAGACATAAAGACGAACTTTATGGTATTAATTTAGATTGAAAAATAATAGTTCTTACCTGCAATATATTCTTCAGGATTTGATTCAAAGACAAGGAGCGAAGTTATTCAATTTGAGGCGCGAAGCACCAACTCTGAAGGTGGCTGACCGAAGAGGCAAGCGGAGCGCGGCGGAGGGCGTCACGCCTCGGTGGTTCTGCGGATAATGACATTGGCTTCTTGACTTGAGCCAATCATATCTCACTTGCCCCTACAATTAGGTGGGTATGTTCCCAGTAGAATTACTGTCATAGCCTCTCAAGAGTTAATGAAGTAAGACAGATAAACAATTTATTTGTATTTTCAGTACGCATGAAAAAAAACATAATAATTACACACTTAAATAATATTAAAAAGACAAATATTGATGAGTAATGAAAGTATAATTGTTTGTGGTCACAACAATACAAAATGTTAATGACTCAGTTTATTGTTGCGCTCGCAAAGCAGAAAAATACTGTTATTCTGTCATAACTTAAATAAATTTGTGAATTTGGTAAAAATAAAAATAATATTGTATGTATTCCTTTCCCTTGAGAAAAAAATAATGCAAACTGGCCAGTCAAGTAATAGATTTAGTGTGAAAGGTTTAGTCAGACATTATTTTCATTTGATTTATGTGGTTGTTCCCGCATATTGACAACATTGAGAAAGACAGTAAGTTCACCAGTAACATTTTGATAAACAGGGAAATTCTGTACTTTGATTGTTACAAATTCTATTTCTACCGCAAACAGTTGCTTTGATTTTGATGTGTGATATATGACAGTAAAATTTCTGTATTCAAATACTTAACAAATTACTTCTTCGTGTATATAGGCGATGGTTACTACTTTTAAAGATGGGCCGTCAACTTGTTTATAAATATAAAAAAACAGACAGATTAAAGTGCAGACAGGTTGAACATTAAACAGAGACGATTATTGAAATCATCCTATTTTAGAACTTCGGTAACGTTATGGAAGTAACAGCGCGGAACCGGGCCACATGGTCTGATGCGTCCGAGTGCTCACACCAAAATTTATAACACGGGCCTTATCAATTTAGACATGACATATGCGCCGCCACTAATCATATGCCTACCAACCTGTGACGCTCAGTTGTCAATACATTTTATTGCTTCAATTGTTTCTTTAGATGTAGCAGGAACGCACAGTCTTAATTAAGGTCGTAGTTTTAAGTTCGGTGAACTAGTTGTTACTAGAAACTTCTAGTAACAATTAATTAGCGAAACTTAAAACTATTTTTAACTAAACATAATAATATTAGTCAGAACTACTTAGTTCTTAGTAATATTATTCATGTTAATTTGTAAATTTAGTGGTCGTTTGATTTTGTATCCCTTTTATATATTTACTTGGCTCAACAGTCAATAGTCATAAAATTCTGCATACAGGTAGTATTTCACCATTCTAAATACTATCTGATGTGTATAGATAACTATGAGTAAGTTGGTATGAAGTGATAGTAATGGTGACAGTGCGTGATCCCTGATCCCTGATGATTCCTGTGAAAAACGCCTGTATAAATGTCTGTCAAGTCGACCTCCAGGAGGACCTACACGAACATCATGACACGGGCTAACTGACCTGACTTATAATCACCCTATAATCGTTAGCCAGCGTACCTGTACCAATAACGCAAACGAGTAACAGCCATTCCATTTTCATCTATTAAAAAAACTATACATGTATGTATATTCCGGTCATTCAAGTTATCCCGATCGCGATATACACTAATAATAGTTAATTTGTCAAATTTACATTACGATTCAATTAACACTTTAAATATTTATTTAATTATATTTTTAAAGTACAAACAAAATCAATTCGTTTTTCAAATAATAACATTGTAAAGTAGGAACGTATCCATTACTAAGTTGAGAAGGTTAATGAACTGAGGCAGGTTAGTGTAATTAATTCACTTGATCTTAAGATCCTGGTATTGTCTTGTCTCACATGTTAAGCACTGCTCGGCTCCACTAATACAATGAGGAAGCGACAATTGAATTAGACTCTGACGATGACTCTAGCTGCCTATTTTTAGGGTTGTCATTATTAAGGATGTTTGTAAAACTTTCCTTTGTATTTGTTAATTACTATAAATTTTCATAGTAAAATAAAATATTATTGTATCATTTTAGCTTATATACTTATACAATATTGACTATGATAATCCATTCCATTCTAAGTATATAAAGTAGCCCTTTTAAAATGCACGAAAATTATGATTACTGAGCAAATATCCACATAATTTTAATGTTGCCTTTTTCATTATATATATTATATTACCTTAATTAATTCTTCATAATATTTGGAAGTAGGTCTGATTATATTATGATTACATTTTTATTTCAGAATATCTGAATAATATAATGTGTTTCAACCATAATATTTACTGTTACTTTAAACAATAATCGTAACACTCGCTGATGTCATGCCGCAGGATGCTCAGATAAAGGCAACCCTATAATATAATAACATTGTTAATAGAACAATAAAGTATGTCACATCAGTAGATATGTGGGCTATAATGTAATTTGTACGGTGACTCTGTAAGCTTCGCACGACTGGCCAGTGTCCTAAAATTTAAAAAAAAAGAAAAAGAAAAGAAACTAATACATTCTTTATTCAAATTTTTGGCGGTAAATACTGTTCGGTTTTTAAATACTAGTGTTGTGCAGTGTTCTTATTAATGTGGTACTTTTTGAAGCGAAACAAGCAAGTGGCAGCGATGTTGGGTATTTTGAGTATAGCGGCGGTTATTGTAATAATATTGGCCACAAGAACAACGAGTCATTCAACAGATGAAAACTCTTCAGATGAAACTGACGATGTTAGCGATGATCCTAGTATATTTTCGACACACAAGTAAGTGTTGTTGTAGGGTACTAATACCAGATACGAATTTGCTTGTTCAGTAATGTGAAAGCAATGTTAGTTCTTTTCCCACTTTCTACAAATATTAGCGAATAAACATAAAATTATTTTATTCTACTTGTATTTCTAAAATATTTGGGATTTTCTACATATTATATTATAGATTATATGCACCCCAGCAGTCTAACGGTATAGCACATCGCCTTACTTCTGAAGGTTGCGGGTTCATTTCCTCTCACAGTTTATTTTTTTATTTGTTACTTACCATAATTTTTTACTCTTGAGTATAATTGCTTGTATTGTTATAGGCATTTTCTATGTACCTATACTGCATTATGTAAATGTATTTATAAAATAATGAATTCAAGTGTTTCTATCAGTTGTCTAGTACCCATATCATAAGTTCTGCTTACCTTGAGGCTAGGTGGCGCTGTGTGAATTGTTTGAATTATTATTACAGCGGCAACAATAAAATAAGTCGCCTTTGAGTTCAGCAAATTGTAATAAATGTAGGAAAATAAACAATGTAAAATATACCGTGCCGGCGATGACACTCCTATTGCATTTCTAATTTGTAATAGATATATACAAATAAATAAAATTGTAATTTATCTATTTGTAATTTCAAATTAACAGCTTTTCTCTAAGTGCATATATAGTATATACGCTACTTACACTAAAAAGTAATTTTATGTTTTTTGGCTGTCTATTTGTTTGTTCTTGATAATCTATGAAACTATTGGTCCGTTTCTGACGAGACTTTTATCCGCAGATAACTAATATTATATGGAGTAACTAAGGCTAATGTTAATTTTAGAAAATCCATTTATTATGAAAAAAAAAGTAAAATTGCACGCGCACGAAGTGCGTACGTAAGTGTTACTTAAACAGCTAGTATTCTATAAAATAGGACACATTATTACAAATAAGGTAGAATGAAATTAGCATTATTATGTATAAATATTTCTAAAAGATTCTCTTTTTCTAGACATAATTGAATAAAAGAATTTAGATTGATGCCGACGAACGCCTACGAGAATGTTTATGTCAATATGTTCATTGTAAGTTACAATAATTATTTAGGCGCTTTAGACAATTAGAAACACAATTGTAATACAATTATATAGTTACTTGTACCGTTATTATCACATCTATCTTAACATTGAATGTCATATGAGGTAAATAGAGCCTATTTTAAACTATTTCCTACTATTTTCCTTTTCTATGTGGTGTAATCGATTGGATTACTGGTATAGTTATCTTACATATTTCTAAGGCTAATTTGCTTACTTAGAAGCTGTATCTCTACTTGAAGGATGATAAATAATAGCGAAAATATAGTACATGGTCCTCATGAATAGTAGGCAATGATTGCCTACTATTCTTTCATTGAATTTTTTCTCAATCGTTCGTCAGCTTTTTTGGCAATCCTATTTGGATTGGTTAAAACTAATATTTTTATATATTTCGTGACAATTGTTTCGACTTCATCTGCAAGTATTACTTACTACATAGTTATGGAAATATTAGAGGAAAAGAAAAAAAATTTAAAGTACCTATTATAAAGGAAAGAAAATAAAACACTTAACAATCTCTTAATCTCGCTTTACTGTAATCTGTGGAAATGATTGCGAAGCAATGAATTGTATAACAACATCGGCTATTTTATTTCACTTCGAGCGCATTCGGTGGTAGGATTGGAGTTAGCCTTTTCGAGAAGTTCATACTAAGATCTTGTATTTTACTCATAATAATAATATGTAATTACAGTGAGGCTCGTTTCTGTTATCATTTGTCTCATTTGCAGACTTCCATTAGAAGATAGGTTTATGCCATCCATTGGGAACGGTCATATAGCAACAAATATATTCAGCGATACGGTATATATGAATGGCCTATACAATGGACGGAAGGGGGAAAGTCATCGAGCGAGGATTCCCAACTGGGCTAATATACGGCTAAATTCTACACTTACGCATATGCCGTACCGTCCCGTCTATAGTCTGGACACCAAAGAAGCAGCCTTCAAAGTGAGAGTCGACCGAGATAGATCCATCGTCACACAAAGAATATATGCCCATAGATTCTACACTAGGGCTATTGTGAATCAAATTCAAGTAGTAGCTAAACCACATGGTGAGATTTTATTCTATAGTAATGTCCAGAAATAAAAAAAATGTAGTTCAATTTATTTTTTTAATTTGTATCATAATTATGATTTTTATCTGTACTTTGTTTAGTGATCATTATGAAATCGTACAAAATATGGTTGTCCCATAGCTGATAAGGTAGAAAACGCCTTTAGATTTCTTATCTGCAATGTTTAATGAATGTAACTATTATTTTTGCTTGTTTAACTGTGAAATGTAAAGTTAAATAAGCAAAAATAATGTTGTATTGATTCTCAGTCGTCTCACGATTTAAAACATCGCCTTAATTACGATTGATGAATCGCAAAATCGATGATCATAGGTTCGATTGCTCTCACGATGCAAATATTTATATTAATAAGTATAATTGTTTGCATTCGCCTAGGTGTTTTCTGTGTAATTTTATATATATTAAAAAATGTTTTGAAATATTTCTATCAGCTATAACACAACTAGATGACGCTGTATGAATTGGACAATTCATTACTACAACTTATTATTAATATTGTTTAATTTATATTGTTTAATTAGTTCAATTTATTATTAATATTGTTTTCTAATATTTTATACTACCTGTTTCTTTTATCCAATTCAATTAAAAATAAGGATATTTTCAATTACTTCTATATTTTCTTATGGTTATATTATTTAAGATATAATTCTTTATGGTATATATAATTTCAAGAAAAAGGTTACCAACCTTTTTCTTGAAATTATATATACCATATAGATTGCTTAAAAAATTTACCATATAAAAAAATATACTTATATCAGTATCGAGAAATACTCATTGCTATTCAATATTACCAGGCGTTTTCTTGGTTATAATGGGTCGTCAAAATTTTTGATATAGATAGGGCTAATATTTAGAAATTAGGAAAAAATTAGGCTCCTATATCAGTACATACAGGTCTCGCAAGACGCATTAAAAACTAATTGCGCTTTTTATAATTTGTGCACTCACTACCTACTATTATTTCCAAAAAATTTTATTACAGATCCCAATTTTATTCATCATGAAATATGGATAGCAATTAAACAGATACCTGGTCCTAACAGTGAAGATGTTCAATTCCATGCTCCAGTGCCAGAGGTATACGATGGTCGCACCATCTGGTACTCGTGTGGCTCTACCAAAGATTCTGAAGATCCTTCACACCAGCCTTTACCTGTCGATGTTTGTGCATATTGGACCTCTGTACCTGATTACCTGGTGGTACCTCAGCATGGATCCAAAGTATTCACATTTGTAATGACGGTGGATAAAAATATAACTGTTGCTAGGCAAGAACTCTTTGCAGGTTAGTGATAGTTTTTATATTTAGTTCTATATAAATATTTGACATAACAAACAAGGTGATAGTCCACTTGATGGTAAATGGTATATGCAGGAACAGCATGATGTCGTGGACATCACTGTTGTCATTCCAAAGAACTAAGATATTATGCCTCTTATTTGTAATTTCACTGTCTTTCAACAGAATCATAGTTTACAGTACAAGCTGCTTGGCGGCGGAAATAGACAGAGTACTTTCGTAGATGACTTTTTTGAAAAGGATCTACTTTTTTAGATAAACAACAAAAGATTGATTTGAATAATAGTCAAATTTATCTTTATAGTATTAAGCTAAAGATAAATTTGATCACTATTCGAGTATTATTTTATTTGTATGTAATGGACAGATTAAATAATAAATCCCTCACCTATAGATACAATATCACCATGTACCTACACGGAACGCGCCGCGAGAGATAGTTTTTGTATTTTTATGTTTAGCTATATATTTTATACTTTATTTTTTATTTATATTATAAACGAGAAAGTGAGATGGATGTCTGTTACTCTTTCACGCAAAAACTACTGAACGAATTTTAATGAAACTTTGTCGTAATACAGCTTATACATCAGAATGACACATATCTATATTAATATTGTAAATACGAAAGTGTTTGTCTTGTACTTATTAAGTACTTGTTAAGTCACTTAATATTTTTTCTGCGGGCTTGTTTGTTATTAGTAGTAGCTAGTATGTTTTTATATTTATATTATTTTAAATCTTCCCATTTCCATGTTACTTATGATACATAATCTATTTGTAGTAAAATAATATGTTTAAAGTATTACAGGAGGACGGTGAGGACCTGTACAATAAGCATATCGACGAATGGCGTTCTTTGTATCATCAGGCTGGAATCCACATCGAAGGCAACTTGCAATTGGTATGTATAAGTCTTTGTAAATATTATTTTTATATTACTAGACTAGCAAACAAGGTATTAGCTTAACTGAGACAGTAGGGATGGTGCGACGATGACTATGGTATAGATACACTTCTTTGATGGACTATATATTAATATAGGAATTGGCTGGTCAAAAATGAATTACTTACCCCAACAACAGTATGCTTGTTCTTCTGTGGGCCCACACGATTACAGGAAGCTCAAGCTTTCAGTCACTTTTCTTACAAACACGTGTGAAAAAGTAACCGATATTCGAAAAAAACGATCAATGATTCATAAATAGTTGATTTTCTAATGCAAGATTTTTCATTCGATTCAAATGACCAAAATACAATCAGATCAATGGTGATTTAAAAATAAACACCCATATACTTGTATACATTCTGAAAGGTTCTATGTATATAAAGTAATTTCAATTAGATATCCGTGATACTGTCTATTCATGTAGGCGACGGTTATCACTTATTAGCTTGTTTGATATTCTGTTTAGTTACTAAAAAATTGTTTACATATCTTTATCTATCTATCTATTTGTAATTGAGTGCTCGCCAAAACATTGTAGTTATTATTTTAATACACAAGTATATATTGTAGTTTTACCAAGGGACTTACACTTCTAAACACACTTGATCAGCATATCTAGGCCAGTTACCTACCCTCTTTTCTGTTTTGTATATTTTTATATCAATTTTATTTTAAAGTCAATTGTGACAACAGTAACCTTTCTTGGATCAATATTTGCTCTTTTAAAACCTGATTCTTAATTACAGTCTAAGATAGTGAACGGTATCTGGTACTACTATTTGAGCTCATTGCCATCCCAGCACACGTATCACCCACCAGGGAAGTACTACGGCCTCAGTCCTACAGGACTCGCGAGGGGCGGTTCACTACTGGACGATTATGAAGGTATTACATTAATAATTATTTTTGTCTATATGATACATATAATTAAAATATAATGGATTAATATCTGTACATAGTAGATGTATAAGAAAAACTATTATTGGTGGAGATTATATATAGATATGAATGTAATATAATCTAAAATGATTCTTAGAATAGTTGTCTGCTTGTCTTTTTGAGTTAGGGTAAAAAACGTCTTACATATCCATTATGAATATATATTTCTATGTGGATAAGACAAAATATAGGAGACTTCGATACAACATTTGGTTTGTGATTTATAAACAGTTTATAGACGAGTATCAATATTACAAGAAAATGTCATAAATTGTCCATTAAATCTATTTTAGCTATACAGAGTTTATATTTATACCTTTATGATGTTTACGACCATTTAATAGAGTTATTTGATGTTTTTGTTGCAGAATTTCATAGAACAATAATATAATTTATGAATAAGACTATATTTTTTTTAATTTGGCAAATACACAGAAACGCTATGCCATAAAAAGAATAAGAGACTATTAATGGCCGGCCTCGTCACTTAGATATGTTTTGGGAAAAGTGAAAAATGTTAGGTACAATATCTATTCACTTTTTTCACATATGTTTTCATAGTTTTAATAAATCTACGATTAATGTAACTAGTAGCCTATTTCGTACTATTATATCTTGTTATATAATAAAGAATACATTTAGGTATATTATCATGTACTTCATATTAATACAAACAACATTGATAACGTAACGGTGTGATTTATGTGACGAAACCGATTATCTACGTAATGATCTATTTGTTAATTGTATCTATTTCTGAAAGTATATATAGTATATGTGATATTTATATTTTTTTATGTAGATATATGTTAAATATGTGCAATAAAACTATCAACTTTTTCATATTGTACATCAATAAGCACATATTGTGTCACGTAAGAAATAGTTACAATGGCTGATGGCGCTACTCAATGACGAAAGAACCCATAAAACTCTGTGATTCATAGATAACCATTTATTCCGTATTTTAAATATCTTATGGTATAACTGTTTAAATGTTATATTTTAAACTAGAAATATACATGGCAAATTATATCAGTTTCTGTATCAGTATCTACTAAAGAAAATTACATATTATTGAATACTCGCGCTTTTGACATGAGATCACATTACGCTGTCATCATGATGTTTTAGTTGGCAAATGTTATTTTAAATAAAACATTTTAACGTAGGTATTTTTACTGCATAGTATTTAAGTAATTATGTTCAACACTTTAGGCTTTATGTCATTCTTAACTAATACAAAATTAAAAACATTTTTGTTTAAAATACTTAAATTTGCCCAAAAATTCCTGGAGCTTCCTTCCTTCCTAGATCTCCTGCTCCACAACATGTGGAGCAACGAAAATTTCAAGGGGAAAAGTGAGATAATATTTTTATTATCAGCCATTTTTAGAGACAGCTAAAAGATAAAACCGTCATATCTCACCTATTGCTATTATTAATTTGATTTTTTTAATCGATGTGTTCTAATCTATCTATCTAATATCTAAAATTATCGTGTCACAACTAACCTAGTTGCCATAATTCTCCGAAAAGGCTTAAACGAATTTGTGGATATTTTATAATGTCGGTAGGTCTGAAAACAGATTGTTAACTATTTTTTACAACCCTAAGCATTGTCCATCCCAATTTTTTTGTGGTCGAATCTTTTTTTATAATATGGTGTTAAAAAACATACAGTCCTAAAACAATCCCTATTTTTAAATGCGATATTAATTTTTATGGCATAACAATGTTTAGCGGCTCTGCTTAGATAGATCACTCTACATGACTTAGTCACTATATTAATATTCCAGGGCACAACTTCTGGGATACAGAATTCTGGATGTTTCCATCGATCCTGCTGCTCTACCCTCGATATGCCCATGACCTGCTCCAATATCGGTTGGATATGGCCTACGTGGCAGCCGAACTTGCTAAAATTACAGGCAACAAGGGTTACAGGTAAAAACTACTATTCATTTATTAAGGGTTCTTCGAATCTGATCCATGCACATTAAGTCTATACTGACCTGGAACTTTGAGATATAGTTTTATCAAGATATTATGAAACTTTCAGATTAGGTTCATAAATTATTATGTATTGAATTTGAATAAAATTTTTATGTTTGTTACTTCTAACTAATAATACGGACAGAAGGAGAGAGAATGTATTTATAATGAGACTTGATTAGTTGGCCTTACTGTTAACTATGTACTATGTCTACTCAACCTTCACGCAGTCTCTCCTGGAAAACAATACCTACTAAATTGATAACCTGACCGGACTGAGTTGACATTATCTTACACTGGTGCCCCGCCAGTGCCGTTTGAAACCGTTAGCGCAGTTTGAAGCTGTATCATCAACATATTCGTAATTAGAAATAATAAAGACAGTAGGTTATTATGTAGAGACTAGACAAGATCATGTCTTTACCATGCCTTTGATTGTAATTACCTACATAATTATTTAATTATATTGTCATGATAGCTTCCAAATAAATTTTCGGTTTACTCGTATTACTAGCTTTTGTACCAATATTTTGATTTCCAATATGTTAATACAAGACAAGATTATGTCTCTACCATGCCTTTGATTGTAATTACCTACATAATTATTTAATTATATTGTCATGATAGCTTCCAAATAAATTTTCGGTTTACTCGTATTACTAGCTTTTGTACCAATATTTTGATTTCCAATATGTTAATACAAGACAAGATTATGTCTCTACCATGCCTTTGATTGTAATTACCTACATAATTATTTAACTATATTGTAATGATAGCTTCCAAACAAATTTTCGGTTTACTCAGCTTTTGTACTAATATTTTGATTTCCAATATGTATTAAGATTTCCATGGGAAAGTGCATACACTGGCACCGAAGTGACGCAGCCGTGTTGTCCTGAGATTGCAGAGTTTGAGCAGCATATTACTGGGTGCATATCATATGCAGCCCGCCAGTACTTGGCTACCACCAGGGACGAGGAGTGGTTAAAGGTAAGACTTGTGAAATAATTCAACAATCACCTGAGGACTAGCATAAAGTCGACTGAATATATATAACTAATCTTGTTGCCGCTGTTGTGGGTCATTCATTAGCGTTAGTAATAATTGACCCAACTATACTTATAAGTGTTATTAAATACGAGTAGTTTCAACCCATCTACTATCGCACTACTCGCATTTAACAGGCGGTGCTTTTCTTACTTTTGGAATCGAAGTAATTTTATTCAGTTCGGTTTATGCATGGCCTCATTTCTATTTATTTACAGTTGTATCTAATTATTAGTTTCCTTTATATTTTTTTAATTTATTTGCAGCAAGGAGGTTGCTCCATCGTAACTCATATCGCTGACTTCTGGGCTTCCCGGGCTGTCATAAATTTCAATACTGGATTGTATGACATTGAAAGTAATAATTATATAAAAATAATAACATAATGATATTCATTTTCCATTATCTTATCGACTATTAGTACAGTAGTTATAAAAATAAATGTAGGTAGGCATCTATAATATATAACCCGATTGTGACTATATTAATATAGTACTATAAACTTGATTATATTACTTAAGTACTATGATTACAGTTTAGAAGTACCAATATATGTTCACAATACGATATTATGGTAGGAATTTCAACTGTAAAAATTAACGTAATACTTAATATATTCAAAATTCGACGACCTCGTTTTATATCCGATGGTCGCGGGTTCGATTCCTTGCACGGCACAAACATTATTCATGAGTATGATTGTTTGTATCGGTCTGGGTGTCCTATATGTATATTATATATGTATTTAAAAAATGTAGCTATGTATATATATCAGTTGTCTAGCGCCTATAACACAATCTCTGCTTATCTTAGCTTGGCACTAAATGGCGTTGCGTGAATTGTTAATAAAAAGAAGTAATAATTAGACTATTTTCTTTTAATCTTCTATTTAAATTATAGGTATTCATTTTATGGGATTGTTTTTGCTTATAGGAGTAATGGGCCCTGATGAGGATCACAGTAATGTCACAAATTCTGCTTTCACCAACGTCGTGGCTGGATACTCATTATACTTGGCACAGTATGTTGTAATTTGTTTGAAAATTAAATAAATAATAAGAAATTTCTAAGTTCAATTATGTTATTGATACATCTTAATCCTAATAATATAATATATTAGGTAAAAATGCGAAAGTAGGAATGTTTATTACTCTTTCACGAAAAAACTACTGAACGGATTTTGTTGAAATTTTACAGTGATGTAGCTAGTACATCAGAATAACACATAGGCTATAAATTTCATACAGATGAAACCGCGGGCACAGCTAGTAGGAAATAGGCAGCTAACAAACGATGTCTGTTCGCTATATAAGCAATTGAACATATTAGAGAAGATAAATAGACCATTCCATGCTGTTTTCAAATGACTGGAAGAGATTTCTTTTGGATATATGTTCACTTTTACTTACATTGTCCCTAATTAGTATTATTACTGGATCCAAGTGTTCAATAAGGCACTTATCATTCAAAACAACACTCTTACTTTCTCATATACATTCACTATAGATTAGTACTCTACTTTCTCCCTTAGTACATTAAGGTGCATACATTACACATACCTTAAATATCTACGTCAACACTACTAACAATATTAATTTGCAGTACACATTACAAAAGAGTTATAGAAAAGTTGCGAGGTAAGAGATTGAACTGGTATGGGCAAGTTATGCGAAGGAACGAGGATCATGTCTTATGGAAAGTGTATAATATGAATGTGGATGGATGTAAAGGGAGGGGACATCCCAAGAAAAGATGGGTGGATTGTGTGAAAGATGATATGAATAAAAGAAGAGTATGCTCAGATATGACGACCGATAGAGAGCAGTGGAAGAGAATGCCATACTGCGCCGACCAAATAATGCGCGCCCAAATCATTATTTGGGCGCGCATTATTTGGGATAAAGGCAAGGCAATGATGAGTACATATGATCTGTTTAAATGTTTAACGGTATTGTTTTTAAATAACCAATTTAATTATAACTTTAATATTAAAGATAAATTCATGAGGTATCTATTATTGGCTTTACTAACTATATAATACTATATACTATATTGTCTATAAATTGTGTAAGCTGTTAATTACCTAAAATAAATAAAAAAAATTACAAAAGAGTACCTATAGCACAGGTGTAATACCTAGTTTAGGTTATCAGGGTCCTCACATTAGTCTACTGAACTTTTTGCCATTGGTCGAATCGAAAATCGAATAGCAACCCTTGTAATATAAGACCATAGGCTAAACCACAAAAACACCAAGTCCCTGTTGTTTATTCACAGTAATTAATATTGAGCTATAATTTAACATCTACTCCATCAATTTGAGTCTACTCAACCATAATACCAAGGGGGAATGGGGATTGTTAGTAATGTTAACTGATAACCCCATTGTTAGCAATGTACCATGTTAGGATCTCCGCGCGGAACTGGAAATTTATTGCTAGATTATGTTAAATTCCTGGTGAATTTGTCACGATGGGCTAACTAATCTGATCTCATGTTCGTCTTATTTACGTTTATTCATCATTATACATCTGACTGACTGCAGGGTGCACTGGTGCCCGCCAGCGTATATCGTTGGAGCAGGAGAGTGCATCCATTATCATCCTATAAAAAACCCTAATACCTTTCAGATATGTTTCCTGTCTTTGTAAGTCGTACTATATGGCGAAAGGACTTGACCAATGGGCTGACATCGCTTGGAGCCTGGCGTTGCCTTACGACGAAACCTTGGATTATCACCCGCAGTTCTCAGGGTACAAGAGAGGTGAACAAATCAAGCAAGCTGACGTAGTTCTATTAGGGTTTCCGTTGCAGTATCCCATGAATATGTAAGTTGGTGATTCTTATTAACCAGCTTTTACTTCTGACTTCATTTGCGTGATCATATGTATACTTGTATACTGTTTTAATTTAGGTTACTATATTTATTTATTTATTATTTTGCACACAAAGTTCTATACATGGCAGACTTAAAGCTTGATAATATTCTCTACAAGTCAACCGTCATGTTGATCCGAGATAATAACGCGGTGCGATTTAATAACTAATATTGAAATATTAAGGAAATACTAAATAAGGAATAATTAATATACATATATATGTAATAATATATATATACAAGAGAAAAGGAAAAGAGGATTAAAATAACAAGATAAGAATCATGACATCTTAGTGCTCTGGAATGACAACGCATGAATAATATCATGGGTCACATGATAACGTGATTTGAGATTCCAATTATATAAACAAAGTAATACGCATAAAATATTTTTATTAATAATATTTAATGTCACTGTTCGATTACGACTTTATTATATGTATTATATATCTGTTACAAACTGTTTTACAGTAAAGAAGTTACTGTCATATATAAAACAATATAGTATAATTATTATAAAAAAATATATGGATGGATGTTTGTTATTCTTTTACGCAAAAACTACAGAATGGATTTTAATGAAACTTTATAATAATATACCTTATACATCAGAATAACACATTGGCTATAAACAAGTGGGTGAAACCGCGGGCGCAGCTAGTATACAATAAAAAACATATTTAAGTAGTTTGTAAAACAACTATAAAATTACAGGTCGACTAGGGTTAATGATTTATCGTACTACGAGTCTGTGACGCGTAGCTCTGGACCGGCGATGACCTGGAGCATGCACACTATTGGACACCTGCGTATTCAGGACGACAAGAAAGCAGCCGACATGTTCAATAAGAGCTACCAGGGCTATGTGAGAGAACCTTTCAAGGTAACCAATAATTTCGCAAGAAAATTGAACTTTTTCTTTCACGACTATTATCTCTGTTTTTTATAGCATAGGAGACAAACGAACTTGCGGCTCACCTCATGGTGAGTGATTACCGCCGCCTATTAGCACCCGCAACACCAGATGAATTGCAAATACCTTGTCGGTCTTTTAAGAAGAAATTAGCCCTTTTCCTGAAGGGCTCATTATCATATCGGTTCAGAAATACCATTGTTGGAAGCTGATCCCACAATGTGGTTGTGCGTGGCAAAATAAATCTGGAAAAACATACTGTGGAGGACCGCCTGAATAAATCCAGATGTTCAGGATAGTATTTTTCTTATGGTGTAATATAAATGTAAATAATACAACATACATCAGGCTCAGTATATTTGAATAGACCATGTCAGCGGGCGACTCTATGTCAGTCTATCATTGATTTCTGTTTATATACTTATATTTTTTTATTTATACACGTTCATAAAACGTTTCAGACAATACACAATTATAATGTCAATGATTTAGATTCCATCTTTCACAGTTTGTTCATTCATAATTTAGGAGCTAAGCTCTTGTCGGTGAAGCTCTTATCACTTTCCACGATGCTATTTAATTTTCGCAGTTATCCATACAAAAATTGTGACTGCAGTAAAATCTTACCTCTACTATGTCATATTATGTTATCTGTGCCTCTACTATGTTGGCGACAAATATATTCAGCAAGTTGTAGGTGTGACAAATGTTATATCCATGACGTCTATAGTTAACTATGTCTCTGGCTGAACTTAGATAGGGTATCTAAGATTACAGTCGTGAAATAATATTTATTTAACAATAATAACAGTAATGAACCTGGACAATTCATACGACGCTATCTATTATAGTTTCTAAGCAAAACTTATATGGCTACGTGGATAACTGATGTAAATACATATGTAATATAGAAAACACGAAGTCCAATACAATTACGCTCATGTTATGATATCCCCAAATATTATTTGTAACAGGTGTGGAGCGAACTTCAACGGCCAAATGTTGGCGCTGTGAATTTCTTCACTGGCATGGGAGGATTCCTCCAAACTCTGATCTTTGGTTACGCAGGTGTCAGCATCCACCTCGACCGTCTCGAGATAAATAGACCACAGCTACCACCTAATACCACAAACTTTAAGATAAGAGGTCAGTCAGTCACATTAGATTTATTAATTACTAGCCTAAGTTACTCCTTATTATATCAGCTACCTGCCAATAAAAGTCTCGTCAAAATCGGTCCAGCTATTTCAGACATTAGCCGCAACAAACAAACAGACAGACAGACAAAAAATGTAAAAAATGTTATTTTGGTGTATGTACCGTATTAAAAAACGGTTACTTCAATATTACAAACAGACACTCCAATTTTATTTATATGTATAGATTAATATTTCTATTACATAGTTGTAATGGCACACAATCTGACGGCTCACCTTATTGTAAGCTGTAACAATCGCCTGTATACATGAACAGCTTTAAGGACATATCACATTATGAGGCTGTGATAGTATTTACACGTTGTCATTCCGGAGGATTAAGATGTCATTCCTCCTATCCTACCTCACCATTTAACTGAAACATAGCATGTTTTTCAGTCTAAAGAGTGGCTGTGTAATTGCATAGAGACGTTAGTTCTCAAGAATGGCAAAGCATGACAGATTTAAAATCATAAATCTTAAGTATTAAATTTAATCATAATTGTTAGTATTATCGCATACAGCTGTGATGCGCTCGTCTGATCTTACTGCCGCTGCGAGCTGTACAATATTATTTATCTGTAGTGCATTACGTTTTGCGCGGGAAAATAAAAAACTACGACAAAGACTTCTTCTACAGACATACTGATTTGTTGTACTATATATTATTATATTAACAATATGCTAATTATTTTACTTTGTTCTATATAGCTGTTTATGTCTGTAATTGACTTTTAATACAATACAATACACTACCTACGAAACCTGAGTATAAATACGGGCAGTATATACTCACTACTGTCTAGTCACGACGTGGCATCCGTAGTGTTGTATCTATGGTTTATGTGATGGTGGCTACTTACCATTTGATGATCAGCTTGTTTGCTATTCCAGTCAAGCACCTAAAGACATAAAATTTAATATTATTACAGTACAGATAGAGATTGGTGTTAATAATACACTCATTATTCATTATTGTCTCATGAATTTCAAAACTTAATCGATCAGAATTATTCAATTGCGTGTTAAATTAATGGAGCTACGACAAAGTGTTAATTGGCTGCGGACACCAATAATTAATATGGATGAATACATCAATTATCGTAACAAAGTCACTGGCGGTTGATTAATGCATTTGCACTATGCAATGTTGTAATTTTATTATCCCCAAAGCAACAGTACGCTAATTGCAAAACATGATGAAAATTGACTTACTTGGATGGTTTAATACGTCTCTGAACCAAAATATACCTAATGATGATTTTTTGGATTGGACAACTAAACGGTAAAGGGAAACCATTATGATGAGATTGTTACAAATATATTTTAGAAATTATAGTAGATACTATTATTTGTATTATAGTCCGAATATGTATATGTGTATGATGATGATGTATGTATAAAAATAATATTAATTTCTTAATACTGTGTAAATTTGAAATATTGGATTCAGTTAGGTTTCATATGATATCATCTATATCAAAACTAGAATATATAGTATATCAAGGCATATTATTGCCATGAAAAATTTTTCACATTTTTTTCTACTACTAAAATTTGATATCACTTAGTCAAATAAATATAATAAAGGATCACTACTTTATAATCTGCAATCAAATTCTTGAACAGATATCTATATTCTAATTTTAGAGTGTTTTTTCTAATTCTTATAGGAGTCTCTATACGAAATTTTCTAGTAAAAAAATCATCGGGTCCAGACCATTATGTCATGTCATGTTATATATGGTTATCTGGTTTGCGTCAATTTGAACAATCAATGTTTTAAATTAGTTTGAGATAACATAAAATCTATATATACAAAATACAAAAAATACGTAATAAAGATAATGTCCTCATATACACATACATATATTATTGTAAGGGGAACGAAATTACGGAGGTCTGAGATGAGGATTGAACCCCTAGCGGAGCCCTTAGACTAAAATCATATACGTCAGGCAGAAGTTGGCTTTCAGCCGCTTCATAAGTCCTTCCACGGGTTGGAGTGTCATCTGCACTCGCACCCTATCGTCCGTTGAAGCTGTGAAGGCCGGCTGCAGACAAGAGCATTAGCGTAGACCGAAAAAAGTTTTTGTAACAAAACTTGTCCGCAACGGCTTGAGCGATTCCTATGAAACTTTGTGAGTGTATTCAGTAGGTCTAATAATAGGACGTAAAGTATTTTGCATACCCCTAAGTGATAAGTGATGTAACACTATTTTTTAATAACTTATGTGTCAAAATAAAATTTGTAACATATTTTGTAACATACTAATGCATAGAACAGAAATATTTGGTTAATTATATATATATATATATATATATATATATATATATATATATATATATATATAAACACCTCTTTGGGCACTTTGTTGATCACGCCACAACCTACACACTTGCTGATTCCACCTTTTGCACTGAATAACTTGACTCCTATCGCGTATATCTCAGGCGGTATGGCAACGTCGCATTCTATTTTGCGATGTGGCCATATATATTCGTCGATAGTACGATATACTCGACACATTTTTTACTAATAATTCGTGCATGACTGGCTCCGAACGGCTAAATTTTTGGTATACACAAAGACTTTTTGGCTCTGAATATATTCCAAAAATCAATTAATTATGTTGATCACTTTATATACTGGTCCTTACTGCGATACTTATTTTCATCCGAATATATATAGATACCGTAACGGTCTATCAATTATGAATTTATTAATTTACTAATATTGATATTTTATATTCGCAATGCTCCATACATGCAAGCTCCAGCAACGGTGGAGGCAGGGTCCCCCCTGCACCGTACACCGCACCCCGCGCACACAAACAAATTAGATATTTTTTGAATACACAAAGACTTTTTGGCTCTGTATATATATTTCAAAAATCAATTAATTGTGTTGATCACTTTATATACTGGTCCTTACTGCGATACTTATTTTAATCCGAATATATATAGATACCGTAACGGTCTATCAATTATGAATTTATTAATTTACTAATCTAGATATTTTATATTCGCAATGCTCCATACATGCAAGCTCCAGCAACGGTGGAGGCAGGGGGGAGCAGGGGGGACCGTACACCGCACCCCGCGCACACAAACAAATTAGAATAAATTAAATTCATAAGATTATTTATATATTTCGACTGCCTCGGTGGTCACACCGCTTTACATCCGATGGTCGCGGGTTCGATTTCTCGCACGGTGCAAACATTTGTACTCATCGGTCATCGATTGTTTTCATCGGTCTGGGTGTTTTATATGTATATTATATATGTATTTACAAAATAAAAATATCTATTTATATCAGTTCAGTATCAGTCTGTGTTAATTGTCCAGGGCTATTTATTATATTTTTATAAACGGTTATCTTTTTCCATCGCACCGCTCGCTATCGACAGTGAATTCATAGAAATGTCACTCTAAAAACAAAAATAGTTTTGTGTTTTGTATTTCAAATACTAAATGCAAAATAGGTATTTTCAAAATACTTTTTCAAAATAAAGTACCTTTTGAATTTTTGTCTAAACCTCAGATATTTTATTTATTTTAGGTATATCAATCATTACATAGTGTAGTATAAAACAAAGTCGATGTCGCATCTAACAGTACATAAATAAAGAAAGAAGACTTTTTGGCTCTGATACCGTAACGGCCTATCAATTATGAATTTATTATACCTAATCTAGATATTTTATATTCGCAATGCTACATACATTGTAATATCCGCCTCCATTCATTGTAACGGTGGAGGGACTAAATAGTTGAATAAAACTGAATAAGCACTTGCTCCACTCTATAGGTACTGCGTCGTCGTCGTATGCTGTTCATTTTTCACTCGTTTTGGCGCCAAGAGAGGGTCACATAGTCGTGGTCAAGTTAAGAACTTATAATTTAATTTTGATAACAATAGATACAAGTAAAAAGTAGGTATTATATTAATGTACGTAAGTACTGAACTTAAAAATATTTATTCTTTATTGTACATTTGAAAAACTTAACACTTAAGGACTTGTACATATACACGTACATACTGCCATTTTCTCTTAAAGACATCCAGAGAAGCACTATTTATCAAATACGCGGGGTGCACCGACCTTTGACCTTATGACAACTGATTCGCGCGTAACGAATTACATTGCTACTTTTTGGTATTTTATAGTGGATATGTCACTATAAAATATTATTATTTCTTTAGATTATGACATAATAACATAGTTTACATGATTTTAAGGGAAACATACGATAAAAAAAATTCCCGTAAAATGTAAAAGATAAAAAATGGTTATTGTTGGTTATCCTTAAGAGATAGACATATACCATCATGGACTTTTTTGTTGACCTTATTTTGATACATCTCTAAGCACTAGACAATACGCATTTTCATTAAACAGTATTGTATTTTTTTTATTTCTTTAACTTTAATGCACAAACAAATTTGTACATGTGGCGGACTTAATATTTTGCCGCGTTATTTACCAGGCAACCATGAGTGGTGCAGCGAAAGATTATTGGCGGTGCACTAATATAAATAAGAAATGTCAAAAAAAGATTTATAAAGATAAGCAAAGTATACATTTCTATAAAAAAATAACAATATACATACATAAATATATATGTAAATATAACCCATAAATGTATAAATAAATACATAATGATCCGATAATCAAATTATAAGTACTGTCTCAAATTGAAAGTAAGAAAAACAGAAAATATAGAGAGAACTATAGGGATATAACAGAAAGATGTGAAAAAAGGAGAAGGACAGTAAAAAAGTTACAAATTTAAATAATGTTCCCGCAATTTCTGTTTAAATGAATTTATTACATTATTATATATATTAGGCATACGACTAGCCTTATGACTGTTACTTTTTTTTTAATCTATACATCTATACATGTAAATAAAATTGGAGTGTCTGTTTGTAATATTGAAATA